TGTAGTCCTCTTTTGCTGGTTGGCATTTTCCATTGCTGAATGATCATGGTTTGATTTACAGTTCTTCATATTTATAAAGAAACTGCCCTAAAATAATTAGTAATCTGTAATTGGTATCAACAAGTACCTGAGGGAAAGTACTTGGTCTTGAAAAAGTGGTATGGTTGCATCTCTACCTAAAACACATTGATTATCTCACTACTACCTAATGTGTGTTCTTGCTACTAGTTGGCACTCTTAGGACTGGTTCACACTGAGCGTTTTCTAGCACTTTTCTTGCCCTAAAAAATATGTCTCCCCCAAAAATGTATTTCTATGGCCCTGTGCACATCCAAGCATTTTATCGCAATAACCAAAACATCTGTCGCTGGAAAAAGAACACAAGTTTTTTGTTTTTTTTGACATATCGCAGCTCATTTTGGCCCCATATGAGTCTATGAGGAAACGCTTCAAAGCGTGCGTTTGCTGTGTTTTTGCACATTTTTGCGCGCATTTGACCATTAACATCAATGAGCTGCAATCTGCTCACAAAAATGTGTATCAAAAAGTGCAAACACGCTGTCGCCTAGGTGTGAACCCAGCCTTAGACTACTAATGCACAATTTCCTATAGGGCTGCAGCTAACGATTATTTTCATAATCGATTAGATAGCCGATTATTAAGTTAAATTAATCGGTTGATCGGGATTAAAAAAAAAATGGCTCCAGTGATGGACTACTAGTTTGTATTGAGATTGTAGTCCATCAGGGAAGCAAGCTTGGAGTGTGGTGTGCAATATACAGGTGAAACTCGAATAATTAGAATATCGTGCAAAGTTCATTTATTTCACTAATGCAACTTAAAAGGTGAAACTAATATAGGAGATAGACTCATTACATGCAAAGCAAGATAATTCAAGCCGTGATTTGTCATCATTGTGATGATTATGGCTTACAGCTCATGAAAACCCCAAGAACCCCAAATCCACAACCTCAAAAAAGTAGATTATTACATGCAATCAATAAAACAAGGATTGTACATAGAACAATATCGGACCTCTGAAAAGTACAAGCATGCATATGTACTCAGTACTTGGTTTGGGCCCCTTTTGCAGCACTTACTGCAATTACTTTTGCACGATATTCTAATTATTCGAGTTTCACCTGTAGTACATTATACAGCTGCGCAGTGCAGAATAGCAGCAGCTATAGAGGAATGCCGCAATAGTACATTATGCTATAATGTACTATTGCTTGGATTTGTAGTCCTTTGTAGCTGGCGTTATTCTGCATTGCGCTGTATATCATTTATTATTGCTGGGATTTGTAGTCCTCTATAGCTGGTGGTATTCTGCCGTGTACTGTGTAATGATTATACTGCACAATGCAGAATACCAGCAGCTATAGAAGAATACAACAAATGCCATGGTATAGTACATTATACTATACCATTATGTATAGAATGTATTATTGCTGGGATCTGATGTATTCCTCTATAGATGCCGTTATTCTGCATTGCGCTGTATAATGTACTATTGCTGGGATTTGTAGTCCTCTATAGCTGGTGGTATTCTGCCGTGTACTGTGTAATGATTATACTGCACAATGCAGAATACCAGCCGTTACAGAGGACTACACATCCCAGCAATAGTACATTATACAGCGCAATGCAGAATAACGCCAGCTATAGAGGAATACATCAGATCCCAGCAATAATACATTATATACAACACAATGCAGAATCCCAGCCGTTACAGAGGACTACACATCCCAGCAATAGTACATTATACAGGCTGTTTAATATATTATTGCTGGGATTTGGTGTTCCTCTATAGTGTGCCGCTTTTGTTTTTAAAAAGGAAACATTAAAACAGGTCCCCCTTACCTGTTTCTGAACCCTTGTAAGTCGCGGCGGCGTGCTCTGCGGGCGTGGCGTACGCGGCGTGTGAGGTGGCCATGGCGTGCGTAGTGTAACTCGTACCTGTTCCACAACAGCACCCCCACACACCTATTCCACTACTGCACCCATACACCTGTTTCACACAGCACTCTTGTACACCTGTTTCACACAGCACTCTTGTACACCTGTTTCACACAGCACTCTTGTACACCTGTTCCACCACAGCACCCCCAAACACCTATTCCACCACATCACACTCATACACCTGTTCCACACTGCACCTCCATACCCCTTTTCCACCACCACACCCCTGAATCCCCGCACACCAATTCCACCACTGCATCCCCGCACACCTATTCCACCACTGCATCCCCACACACCTATTCCACCACTGCATCCCCACACACCTATTCCACCACTGCATCCCCACACACCTATTCCACCACTGCATCCCCGCACACCTATTCCACCACTGCATCCCCGCACACCTATTCCACCACTGCATCCCCGCACACCTATTCCACCACTGCATCCCTGCACACCTATTCCACCACTGCATCCCCACACACCTATTCCACCACTGCATCCCCGCACACCTATTCCACCACTGCATCCCCGCACACCTATTCCACCACTGCATCCCCGCACACCTATTCCACCACTGCATCCCTGCACACCTATTCCACCACTGCATCCCTGCACACCTATTCCACCACTGCATCCCTGCACACCTATTCCACCACTGCATCCCTGCACACCTATTCCACCACTGCATCCCCACACACCTATTCCACCACTGCATCCCCGCACACCTATTCCACCACTGCATCCCTACACACCTATTCCACCACTGCATCCCTGCACACCTGTTCCCCACTGCACCCCCGCACACCTATTCCACCACTGCCCCCCTATACCCCTATTCCACCACTGCCTCCCCACACAGCTGTTCCACACTGCACACCTGTTTCACCACAGCATCCCCACACACACCTATTCCACCATTTCACACCCATGCACCTGGTGCACACTGCACCCCCATACACCTATTCCACCACCGCACACCTATTCCACCACAATATCCACACTGCACGTCCGTACACCTATTCCACCACTGACGTACTTTCAGAAGGTGGGCCCTCGATTGTCGGCGGGCCAGCGGTGAGTAAGGGAGCTCGCGGCGAGGAGAGCAGCGGCGTGCGTGGCTTCAGCGTCCTGTGCGGTGGGCGTGGCTTATGCGACCTGTGCGGTGGGCACGGCGGCCGCAGCCGGAGCAGCGTGTGACGTGTGGCTAAGGCTGCGTGTGGAGCCCCGAACAGGCAAATCGATCGATAGCCGACGAATCGACGATCGAAAACGTTGACAATGTTTTCAATCGATTAACTGTTGGAGCTCTAATTTCCTATATGGATAGAGAGTCATTATTTCTTTTATCTCTTAATACTCTTACACAGTCAAATCATAATCTCTAAATAGTCTTATTCATAGCTGTTAGGCATAGTTTTATCAATTATTTTTAATATGAACTGATTTCTATGTGCTGGATTTTAAAAACTTCTGTCCAGTTTAGTACTGAGAAGTGTTGACACCAATGCAGTGTGAGTTTGCATTTATTTATCCATTTTTTTAATGTTCTGTCTACACATATGTATAATTATATCTACAACTCATTGATTGCACATACATTGAGCTGTGAGACATTTAATTTCAGTTGTTCCCCGAGATCTGAAACATTTTTCAAGGTTTCCTCCAGGCCAAAAGGTTGAGAAAAGCTTTTCTGTAGCTACCAGAACACTGGGTGCATGTAAAGAGGAACTTTACACATATCTTCAAACTAACAAAGGCACCTTTAGAAATGTTTAGTAATGACAATCTACAAACACATACTTCTTTGCATACCTTACTTTTCTTCCCCAGTCTTCTGGCAGCGGCCATTTTAAATAAGTGCAGATTGATATATCTCCCTTTACTTCCTGGAGCTCTGGCACATGTGACTAGGACATGTGACCATGCACATCATCCCAAGGGAGGAAAATGCCTTTCCCTGAGATTACAGATAAGATTGCCCAGCAATGCTCTACAGATGTAACCTTCCCAGGATGCAATACTTGGGCACATTACATCATTTGTGCCAAAGTGGACCAGGAAGTGGAAAAAATTAATTGTATTTAAAATAAAAATATGTTTATTTAGCTAATGAATGCAAGATGATTTCATATCAGCATGCAGAGCTACATGATGATGTGATTTTTTGTCAAAAGGGCGTAAAGATCCACTTTAAGCACATTTAGCTCCACACCGTTGTCTGACCATATTGCACTAATCTAGCGTAGAAATCTAAAAAACTGCACTCACACAATCCAATCATGCAATAAAGTAATGAACTGCAATTGAACAGGCAATTTGCTTTGTCGTGGATGGGCACAATTCACACCACTGCGTTGCGGTGGAGTGTACGGAAAAAAGTACTGCACGCAGTACTTTTTTTCAGCGCAGCAGGATGCAACGTGGTACAACCACTGCCCATTGAACATAATGAAATGTCACTTTAAAAGAAAACAAAATGTGAATGGACCCTTAATTCTAACACTTATATGAATATTAGACACTGGACATTATTTCTGAAATAAAAGCAGAGGAAAACCAAATCATAAGGAACCCGTATGACAGATAAACATAATTGGGCGTCTGTTTGCCAATATGTGACTTACTGTTGCTTAGCGTTCTATATCTACAGTAATAAAGGACATTTTGTCATGCCATCAATTTGATTAGATATAATCGTTACAGGCCAAAAAACTGATGTGGAGTCTTACATATTGTGCAATAGACACTAGAACAAAAATGGACAAAAGTAAATGGCTATTCATATATATCTTTAACTACACTACCTACACTGCACAATACTCTCTAAGTGATTCTAAAATTCTAGTTGCAATCCCATTTTTATAAACATTGAATGCCAATTACTCTGACCCAAGACACACATGCACACGTGACAGAACTCAAAAAGCTCAACTCCATATCAGACACTAACCAGCTAGTGAACGAGTCCCCTGATGTAGCACCAGACATATGGAAGGATGATGAGCTGGGAAAGAAGATTCAAAGACATCACATACCTCATAGCTGGGGCTGAGAGGAGACTGACAGAGGAAGAAGAAGGCAGCATCAGGGGGAAAGAAGAAAGCCCAATGTTAAAAAAATAAAAAAAAAAGCAAACAAAAAGAATGAAAAGGCTAGTTAGGTAGACAGAACAGAGGAATGATAGAAAGGACACGGTGATATACTGATGTGACAATGACTGACCAAACTACAATACATACCTAATGAAGAAAACTAAAACATACCTGTCATCTACAAACCAAAAAAGCCATTTAATGGTCTGCATAAATGCCTCAGTGGTGTAACTTGCCCTTCATATGCAAATCTGTTCACTGGAACTAAGCAAATCACTGTACAATCAAGCACTTTTTAAAATCATAAACCACCTTCACTGTTACTATGTAGCTGGTACACTTCAAGCATCATTAGAAAAACTGTCACAGGCACGCATTGGACCGTCATCCCTGTCCTATGATTGTACACTGGGCCAGCATCCCTGTATTATGACAGCACACTGGACCACCATCACTGTACTATGACAGCACACTGGGCCACCATTCCTGTACTATGACAGCACACTGGACCATCGTATCTGTACTATGACAGCACACTGGACCATCGTATATGTACTATGACAGCACACTGGACCATCGTATCTGTACTATGACAGCACACTGGACCATCGTATCTGTACTATGACAGCACACTGGACCATCGTATCTGTACTATGACAGCACACTGGACCATCGTATCTGTACTATGACAGCACACTGGACCATCGTATCTGTACTATGACAGCACACTGGACCATCGTATCTGTACTATGACAGCACACTGGACCATCGTATTGCATAGCTTTACTATGACAGCACACTGGGCCATCGTATCTGTACTATGACAGCACACTGGACCATCGTATCTGTACTATGACAGCACACTGGACCATCGTATCTGTACTATGACAGCACACTGGACCATCGTATCTGTACTATGACAGCACACTGGACCATCGTATATGTACTATGACAGCACACTGGACCATCGTATCTGTACTATGACAGCACACTGGACCATCGTATCTGTACTATGACAGCACACTGGACCATCGTATATGTACTATGACAGCACACTGGACCACCATCACTGTACTATGACAGCACACTGGACCATCGTATCTGTACTATGACAGCACACTGGACCATCGTATCTGTACTATGACAGCACACTGGACCATCGTATCTGTACTATGACAGCACACTGGACCATCGTATCTGTACTATGACAGCACACTGGACCATCGTATCTGTACTATGACAGCACACTGGACCATCGTATCTGTACTATGACAGCACACTGGACCATCGTATCTGTACTATGACAGCACACTGGACCATCGTATCTGTACTATGACAGCACACTGGACCATCGTATCTGTACTATGACAGCACACTGGACCATCGTATCTGTACTATGACAGCACACTGGACCATCGTATCTGTACTAGGAGTGAATACACAATGGACAATCATCTCTGTACTAGGAGTGCACACTGAACTAATTACATTATCCCTGTACTATGTCTGTATACTGGAGCATCATCCCTGTACTATAACAGAACAAAGGACAATCATCCGTGTAATATGACTACAAAATGGACCAATATCCCTGTACTATGTCTGCATACTGGACCATCATCCCGGTACTATGACAGCACACTGGACAATCATCCGTGTACTATGAGTACACACAGGACTAATTAAGCCTATACTAGGACTGCACACTGGCATTTTTGTTTCAAATCAGCTATTTTGGCCTAGATTGTTCACTTCTCCTGCCTTCTCCAAACTCTTCACCCTTTTGTGAATAGGCCTATAAATGACAACAAATGTGATATTTGTAACGACTTACAAATGCACATATTAAAGAAAATCCCTTATTAATCATATATTATATATATTATAATCATATATATTATCACAAATATAAGTCAATTTATTACAAAGTCCTTTATGTAAAACAGTTTTAAGAACTGTGATTTTACAAACTTAATACCATGACTTTATGTTGTATACTATATATACTTAGTTTTCACTCCACATAGCGTATTGTAAATAATTTCTAAAGCAACTGCAGTTGAAGGCTATAAACCACTCCCTGCATGTTTGTGCCAACCAAAACTGCCAACCTGTGCTGGAAGCTGCCATTGTGGAGTCCCAAGGCCATACTATTTCCATTTAACACCCTATGAAGCTACAGAGATGCACACAGTCCTGGCAACCATTTCCACCCTTAGGCATAGGGGAAGTCCTAGCAATGGTTAGGTGTCTTGGCTGACACAGACAAGAAGTGAGAGATATCTTTTATATGCTTGAAGACTGTGTAGTAACATGGAAGGTTCCTTCTTGCAATGGTAACAGCACCAGGACACTCTTGCTACTGCTGACTGGAACTTGCCTATTTAGACAAAATGGTGCTCATACATTACCTATTGATCATAACTTAAAATCAACATTTCATTAGCATTTGATACAGCAAATGAAATCTAGAGATGTAGAATGTAATAAAATCTGGGAGCTGTGTGTATTTTGTCTTGAAGCATTTTAAATACTATTTACAGAAAGGAAATCAGATTTATAGCAAATGCATTGACACTGCATATTCTATAACAAGAATGTTTTTACCGGCAAAGTCCAAGCATCTCAGGCCTTACTTACCAGCAGTGGCTCGTCTACGGCGTAGGAGACCGGCTCAGAAGACACAGTGCGTATGCTTGTTAACCCAGTCAGTGACACATTTGATAACCGTCTTTTCCGCACCCCGCTGCAGTTGTTTGGTATCTTGAAAGCACATCGTTTGTGATAGTTAAGACCACATCCTACAGGGAAAAACAGTACTTCCATTAATAGTTCTTCACATTACCTCAAGGACAGATATAAATATTGCCATAGTACTGCCTTTTAGGACCTATTTACACTACCTCATTCTGATGCATTGTAGCAATCTGCATTATACATTGGCACATTGTAGTGTCATTTAATTTGAATGGCACCCCAGCAAACCAAGACACACGCATTGTAGTTTGCTGCACTAGACAAAAATGTTGGCCATTTTTTTTCCATTCGGGTGCATTGGCAGTGCTTTTATTTGAATGGGCAGCCTTAACGCAACGCACATTAATGCAAGACACCAGAACGGCAAAGAATGGGTCTTTACAGAACATTGCAGAGCTATTAGTCAGCATGAAAAAAAAAATCACTAGTAAAGTACTAGAGCTAAACAGTTATGACGTTTAAACTTTATGCACCGCTCCCACACATAGTGTAGGCAGCCATACTCTAAGCTTAATTACACTTTATTCCAACACATTACTAGGAGTTAGCATCAGTGCAGTGGCATAGTAAGATATAGTATAGGAATTTGCAACATCTATGTGAATGACATACATGTAACTAGTACCTCATTAGCTACATTCACTCAACTTTTAATCCAATTCACAATGTAAGGGGGGGTAACTTTTTCCTTTCCATTTAAAAGGCCTAAACCAATGTAGGAAAAGGGTTAGAGGAGAAATAATAAAGGCAGTATGGCGTGTTCATATTTAATTAGTGCACTTTCCCTCAATGAAGAGAGTAAAGTAATATAACTTCCCTTTTTAACCAGCCTCGTCACAAAAATCTTTACACGTGATTTGGGAGGGCTGTTTACTTGAGGCCCTGTGAAAATGCCATTCCACAAGTTCTGACAGCTCCCAAGTTATTGTTTAGCAAAAATGCAAAAGCTGATCAAGGGCAAGTAAAAGAAATAAAATACAGGCAAAAGATTATCCTAAATTTCTGGAGCTCTTCATTTTGCAGCAGAATAAAGATATATGACACACATTTATAACAGCAGACTTTGCACTGTGGTAGTAATAAACCAAATTTTTTTCCCATAAGAACAATACAGGTCACAATCATATCCCGAGTCTGCTGCTTCTCTAGCTACCACGTCTCCCGAGTCTGCTGCTCCTCTAGCTACCATGTCTCCCGAGTCTGCTGCTCCCAGCTACCTTGTCTGCCGAGTCTGCTGCTCCCAGCTACCATGTCTCCCGAGAGTCTGCTGCTCCCAGCTACCTTGTCTCCCGAGAGTCTGCTGCTCCCAGCTACCACGTCTCCCGAGAGTCTGCTGCTCCCAGCTACCACGTCTCCCGAGAGTCTGCTGCTCCCAGCTACCACGTCTCCCGAGTCTGCTGCTCCCAGCTACCACGTCTCCCGAGTCTGCTGCTCCCAGCTCCCACGTCTCCCGACTCTGCTGCTCCCAGCTACCCCGTCTCCCGACTCTGCTGCTCCCAGCTACCCCGTCTCCCGACTCTGCTGCTCCCAGCTACCCCGTCTCCCGACTCTGCTGCTCCCAGCTACCCCGTCTCCCGACTCTGCTGCTCCCAGCTACCCCGTCTCCCGACTCTGCTGCTCCCAGCTACCCCGTCTCCCGACTCTGCTGCTCCCAGCTACCCCGTCTCCCGACTCTGCTGCTCCCAGCTACCCCGTCTCCCGACTCTGCTGCTCCCAGCTACCCCGTCTCCCGACTCTGCTGCTCCCAGCTACCCCGTCTCCCGACTCTGCTGCTCCCAGCTACCCCGTCTCCCGACTCTGCTGCTCCCAGCTACCCCGTCTCCCGACTCTGCTGCTCCCAGCTACCCCGTCTCCCGACTCTGCTGCTCCCAGCTACCCCGTCTCCCGACTCTGCTGCTCCCAGCTACCCCGTCTCCCGACTCTGCTGCTCCCAGCTACCCCGTCTCCCGACTCTGCTGCTCCCAGCTACCCCGTCTCCCGACTCTGCTGCTCCCAGCTACCCCGTCTCCCGACTCTGCTGCTCCCAGCTACCCCGTCTCCCGACTCTGCTGCTCCCAGCTACCCCGTCTCCCGACTCTGCTGCTCCCAGCTACCCCGTCTCCCGACTCTGCTGCTCCCAGCTACCCCGTCTCCCGACTCTGCTGCTCCCAGCTACCCCGTCTCCCGACTCTGCTGCTCCCAGCTACCCCGTCTCCCGACTCTGCTGCTCCCAGCTACCCCGTCTCCCGACTCTGCTGCTCCCAGCTACCCCGTCTCCCGACTCTGCTGCTCCCAGCTACCCCGTCTCCCGACTCTGCTGCTCCCAGCTACCCCGTCTCCCGACTCTGCTGCTCCCAGCTACCCCGTCTCCCGACTCTGCTGCTCCCAGCTACCCCGTCTCCCGACTCTGCTGCTCCCAGCTACCCCGTCTCCCGACTCTGCTGCTCCCAGCTACCCCGTCTCCCGACTCTGCTGCTCCCAGCTACCCCGTCTCCCGACTCTGCTGCTCCCAGCTACCCCGTCTCCCGACTCTGCTGCTCCCAGCTACCCCGTCTCCCGACTCTGCTGCTCCCAGCTACCCCGTCTCCCGACTCTGCTGCTCCCAGCTACCCCGTCTCCCGACTCTGCTGCTCCCAGCTACCCCGTCTCCCGACTCTGCTGCTCCCAGCTACCCCGTCTCCCGACTCTGCTGCTCCCAGCTACCCCGTCTCCCGACTCTGCTGCTCCCAGCTACCCCGTCTCCCGACTCTGCTGCTCCCAGCTACCCCGTCTCCCGACTCTGCTGCTCCCAGCTACCCCGTCTCCCGACTCTGCTGCTCCCAGCTACCCCGTCTCCCGACTCTGCTGCTCCCAGCTACCCCGTCTCCCGACTCTGCTGCTCCCAGCTACCCCGTCTCCCGACTCTGCTGCTCCCAGCTACCCCGTCTCCCGACTCTGCTGCTCCCAGCTACCCCGTCTCCCGACTCTGCTGCTCCCAGCTACCCCGTCTCCCGACTCTGCTGCTCCCAGCTACCCCGTCTCCCGACTCTGCTGCTCCCAGCTACCCCGTCTCCCGACTCTGCTGCTCCCAGCTACCCCGTCTCCCGACTCTGCTGCTCCCAGCTACCCCGTCTCCCGACTCTGCTGCTCCCAGCTACCCCGTCTCCCGACTCTGCTGCTCCCAGCTACCCCGTCTCCCGACTCTGCTGCTCCCAGCTACCCCGTCTCCCGACTCTGCTGCTCCCAGCTACCCCGTCTCCCGACTCTGCTGCTCCCAGCTACCCCGTCTCCCGACTCTGCTGCTCCCAGCTACCCCGTCTCCCGACTCTGCTGCTCCCAGCTACCCCGTCTCCCGACTCTGCTGCTCCCAGCTACCCCGTCTCCCGACTCTGCTGCTCCCAGCTACCCCGTCTCCCGACTCTGCTGCTCCCAGCTACCCCGTCTCCCGACTCTGCTGCTCCCAGCTACCCCGTCTCCCGACTCTGCTGCTCCCAGCTACCCCGTCTCCCGACTCTGCTGCTCCCAGCTCCCACGTCTCCCGAGTCTGCTGCTCCCAGCTACCACGGCTCCCGAGAGTCTGCTGCTCCCAGCTACCACGCCTCCCGAGAGTCTGCTGCTCCCAGCTACCACGTCTCCCGAGTCTGCTGCTCCCAGCGACCACGTCTCCCGAGTCTGCTGCTCCCAGCGACCACGTCTCCCGAGTCTGCTGCTCCCAGCGACCACGTCTCCCGAGTCTGCTGCTCCCAGCGACCACGTCTCCCGAGTCTGCTGCTCCCAGCGACCACGTCTCCCGAGTCTGCTGCTCCCAGCGACCACGTCTCCCGAGTCTGCTGCTCCCAGCGACCACGTCTCCCGAGTCTGCTGCTCCCAGCGACCACGTCTCCCGAGTCTGCTGCTCCCAGCGACCACGTCTCCCGAGTCTGCTGCTCCCAGCGACCACGTCTCCCGAGTCTGCTGCTCCCAGCGACCACGTCTCCCGAGTCTGCTGCTCCCAGCGACCACGTCTCCCGAGTCTGCTGCTCCCAGCGACCACGTCTCCCGAGTCTGCTGCTCCCAGCGACCACGTCTCCCGAGTCTGCTGCTCCCAGCGACCACGTCTCCCGAGTCTGCTGCTCCCAGCGACCACGTCTCCCGAGTCTGCTGCTCCCAGCGACCACGTCTCCCGAGTCTGCTGCTCCCAGCGACCACGTCTCCCGAGTCTGCTGCTCCCAGCGACCACGTCTCCCGAGTCTGCTGCTCCCAGCGACCACGTCTCCCGAGTCTGCTGCTCCCAGCGACCACGTCTCCCGAGTCTGCTGCTCCCAGCGACCACGTCTCCCGAGTCTGCTGCTCCCAGCGACCACGTCTCCCGAGTCTGCTGCTCCCAGCGACCACGTCTCCCGAGTCTGCTGCTCCCAGCGACCACGTCTCCCGAGTCTGCTGCTCCCAGCGACCACGTCTCCCGAGTCTGCTGCTCCCAGCGACCACGTCTCCCGAGTCTGCTGCTCCCAGCGACCACGTCTCCCGAGTCTGCTGCTCCCAGCGACCACGTCTCCCGAGTCTGCTGCTCCCAGCGACCACGTCTCCCGAGTCTGCTGCTCCCAGCGACCACGTCTCCCGAGTCTGCTGCTCCCAGCGACCACGTCTCCCGAGTCTGCTGCTCCCAGCGACCACGTCTCCCGAGTCTGCTGCTCCCAGCGACCACGTCTCCCGAGTCTGCTGCTCCCAGCGACCACGTCTCCCGAGTCTGCTGCTCCCAGCGACCACGTCTCCCGAGTCTGCTGCTCCCAGCGACCACGTCTCCCGAGTCTGCTGCTCCCAGCGACCACGTCTCCCGAGTCTGCTGCTCCCAGCGACCACGTCTCCCGAGTCTGCTGCTCCCAGCGACCACGTCTCCCGAGTCTGCTGCTCCCAGCGACCACGTCTCCCGAGTCTGCTGCTCCCAGCGACCACGTCTCCCGAGTCTGCTGCTCCCAGCGACCACGTCTCCCGAGTCTGCTGCTCCCAGCGACCACGTCTCCCGAGTCTGCTGCTCCCAGCGACCACGTCTCCCGAGTCTGCTGCTCCCAGCGACCACGTCTCCCGAGTCTGCTGCTCCCAGCGACCACGTCTCCCGAGTCTGCTGCTCCCAGCGACCACGTCTCCCGAGTCTGCTGCTCCCAGCGACCACGTCTCCCGAGTCTGCTGCTCCCAGCGACCACGTCTCCCGAGTCTGCTGCTCCCAGCGACCACGTCTCCCGAGTCTGCTGCTCCCAGCGACCACGTCTCCCGAGTCTGCTGCTCCCAGCGACCACGTCTCCCGAGTCTGCTGCTCCCAGCGACCACGTCTCCCGAGTCTGCTGCTCCCAGCGACCACGTCTCCCGAGTCTGCTGCTCCCAGCGACCACGTCTCCCGAGTCTGCTGCTCCCAGCGACCACGTCTCCCGAGTCTGCTGCTCCCAGCGACCACGTCTCCCGAGTCTGCTGCTCCCAGCGACCACGTCTCCCGAGTCTGCTGCTCCCAGCGACCACGTCTCCCGAGTCTGCTGCTCCCAGCGACCACGTCTCCCGAGTCTGCTGCTCCCAGCGACCACGTCTCCCGAGTCTGCTGCTCCCAGCGACCACGTCTCCCGAGTCTGCTGCTCCCAGCGACCACGTCTCCCGAGTCTGCTGCTCCCAGCTACCACGTCTCCCGAGAGTCTGCTGCTCCCAGCTACCACGTCTCCCGAGTCTGTGCTCCCATCTACCACGTCTCCCGAGTCTGCTGCTCCGAGCTACCACGTCTCCCGAGTCTGCTGCTCCCAGCTACCACGTCTCCCAAATCTGCTGCTCCCAGCTACCACGTCTCCCAAGTCTCCTGCTCCCAGCTATCATGCCTCCTATGTCTGCTGCTTCTCTAGCTACCATATTTCCTGAGTCTGTTGCTCCCAGCTACCATGTCTCCAGAGACCGCTGCTCCCAGCTATCATCTCTTCTAAATCTGTTGTTCCCAGCTATTATGTCTCTGAGTCCGCTTTCCCAGATATCGTGTCTCCCAAGGTCCCAAGTCTGCTGCTCCTCAGCTGCCATTTCTGAATCTCTAATCTGCCGTTTACAAGCGTCAGCTGTCACCCGTTCAAGTTAAATGATCAGGTGACAGCAGCTGCATTTGACAGCATCAGAACGCTGTATGTAAATACAGTTTGTAATTGTAAGTGATATGATCACTATCCCTGGATCGATCATGTGTCTAGGGACAGTGATCTCTTTCTAACCGCATGTGGTGTGTCAGCGTTCCGCCGCTTTCAAATGCAGCGACTGTCACCTGATCATTAACTTGAACGGGTAACAGCTGCCGCTTGTAAATGGCAGATTAGGGATTCCTGCTGCAGGAATTTCAAGGATTTCCTAAATGCACCTCAAATATAGGTGTGAATGAGGGCTCAACTGCCATGTTCGTGAAGGGTATATATGTTGACATTTTACCAACGGCACACTTCTACCAGATATTTAATTTCTTATCGGCACCATCAAAACAGTAACAATGTTATTGCAGTTTACGCTTACCCTCGCACTTGAGGCCCTGCCTCACCAAACCCCACAACATCTCTCCACAGTGGTCGCAGAATGCGGGAGCACGGTACGAATGGACATACAGAGTGTGAGGACGGATTTGGAAATCTTCAAATGTTGCTGAAGCTGAAACCATAGAAAACGTTGTTAGTAAATGTTTTAGTATTTGCTCAATGCTGCATTTTATATTAAATATCAGATGTTTCAGAGTGACAAATCATTTTAAAGAGAACAGCAACAAAGGTCTATGTATGACTCTCATTGCAGGTTTTCCAAGTATTCTGGTACACTCATAAATTCCAAATTAAACACTATGTTGAAGTTCCTTTAAATTGTCATTAACAGCAATGTAATCATACAGGGTAGGGCATGATAGATTTTTGGGTGGCTCTCAGGCTGTAATTGTTTTTTCATGCTCATCCCATTAGTTGTCAATTCAATTGCTCTCATCACAGAAGAATTTAGTGCATGAGGCAAGCTCAACCAGAAATGTCAGCTTGGCATGCATTTTCAATGCCCAACCACTGAGGCTGGTATATTGACTCTTCCACATTTAGTAGATATTGTTTTGTGCTAATGCAATATTAAAACTACACCCCCACCCCTCCCCCCCATGTAGTGAGACTGCAGCATCCTTTATCAGTCAGGGTGAGACTGCAGCATCCTATATCAGTCAGGGCTCTGCAACTTCCCTCTTGCTCCAATATGAATAACCAGAGATGCAACACTCTCAGGCAGCGTGGTGCTGGAGCCAAGGTACACTGTGGACCACCTTGCTGCAGACTCCACACCGTTCAGAACTACACATCTTTAGCTAGCATAGGACACAGCTAAACAACAAGAATGCAGGAATAAAATTACTGTACTTAACCAGACCATTGCAAATCTGTCATAGTTGGCTATCCAGGGTGTGCAAATACACAATAAATCTGCCAGGGAGACTTTACTAATAGACAGCATGAATTGTATCAAATTGTGTTCCGAACTTGCTTGATAAATGTCTACATATTACTAATGGTGCATGCAGGGGCGTAACTACAGATCATGGGGCCCCATATCAAAATGTTATTGGGGCCCCATGGCAAACACTTTAAAATCTAAATCAAGGACAGGTAGCAGAAGAGCTGTCTGCATAGTCTCTTCCTGTACACCTGATAGCAACTCTTCTTGATTGGAAATGCCATAAGGGGTACAGGGTAAACAGCAACTTCAATCACTTTTTCATCATTCAGAAGGGTAGCTAGCAGTGCATACATATACATATACATATCTGTACCCACTTAGGTGCACTACAGGCTGCATAAGAAACCTAACATTGCCACAGAGAGTGATCCAGCTCATTCCAAAGTACGTCTGAGAACTGGGTGTCTGAGCTATTCACCTTTGTGTAAGAACTCTGGGCCTGCCTGAAAAACACACTAGAAATACTGACCAGACATAACCCCATAAAAAGCTTTTCTTATTACTGGATTTTTAAACTTTTACAAGCCTACCTAAAGGTGACGCAACAAATCTAAAAGAAAGTAATCTACAGTTGCTAAAAATAGAAATCCTCTGTAAATGTAGTAAAATCTACATGACGTACTTACATTGAAACACCCATGCTACCTTGATGTCAATACAAAGCAAGTTAGAGTTGTAATAAAGTTTATGTGGAAACCCATAAATAGCTATGCCATTTAATGTATTAATACTACTACTAGCAGACTTATTATCATCTCCATCTTCGTCATCAGACTATTCAAGAGAAACTGCAGGCAACAAGTAAAATCGCTATCGTGGCAAAACTGCAACTGTACAAGACAGAAAGCAGACAGACCTCTGTGCCCCTAGCTGGAAATCCTGCTTTGCTGTCCTATTACCATATGCCCAAGCTAAGCTATTGCTTAAGCGGTAGAGGTCCAGGGAATATCTGACTTCAAATGCTTAGAGGTGTCCCCTAGAACATTAGCATTAACCCCTTCATGACCGAGGCATTTTCCATTTACATGATATAATCCACATTATAGGCCTGAAAGTTACTTAAAACCCCCAAATATTATATGTTTTCTGAAAGCCAAGACCCTATAGAATAAAATGCTGGCAGTTGCAAAATTTTTTGCATGATATTAGCGCAACTCCTTATCAAACCCCAAAATTTAGAGAAAATTGCACTTAAAACGCCCCAAAACAGAATAAAATACCCATTGCTTTAATAAAATATAAAAGATGAGGTGAGGTTACAGCGAGTACATAGATATCATCACCAAGGAACTTTACAAGTTGCCTCTTATGGAGTGACTTACTGCACTTGAAAGACTGTTCCAGTCATCAAGGTCTACTATGCTGATAGTCATCAGACTTTACCTGATTTGAACTTGTGCATATATGTTTCTTTTTTTCAGGTACAGAGGACAAGTTACAAGTTCACGTTATGATAAGGGATATATTTCGCTATCACAACGATCGGAGTCAGAATAACGTTTATAAAAAATGTTTTATTATTTTTACATTTATTTCACTTAATAGTCATTTTAAAAAGGTTTTTTTGTTTACTTTAATTGCTATCACATAGGGGGGCTTACAAAATGAGGTAAAAGACCCCCAGTGTCACCTTTACAGTTGTAATAAGCTTATTTCTGGGCTTTAGGAGCCCAAGGCTGACAGCTATGGGACCAGACCTGATGTAATCTTTACCGGCTCGTAGAAGCGATCTGGCAGCAGCTGAGCCACCAGAACCGATTCTACTGTAAAGCCGACAGTCAGCTTTACAAATGTCAAGAGTTTAAATGGGCGCGATGCCAGTGGCGTACACTGTACGTCACTGGTCATGAAGGGGTTAAGGAAATGTTATTTAAAGTATATCCAAGCCCAAAAACCAAAATGTAATACTTTGCAGCTTACCAGTTCTTGAAAGTGGTAGCTGTATTCATTTTCCAGGCGAAGAACATTTCCAGCAAGTCAAGAAAATACCTGTTGATCTTGCCAGAAATTTCCTTGACACTTCCTATGAGTTTTAAAGAAAACACAAACACCCTTATCTGCATTTTGTAAACTGCTGTGGCCAACATGTTTGAATTCAGTATGGCATGTTTGAAGTATGTATGGCAAGCATGGCTGCCTCTTAGATACCATATAGAAGTGAGTGTCGACATGATGGGACAGGAAATGTGTTATTCGCAGGATTACAAGGTAAAAATCAAGGGAAAAAACCTGAAAAAAACAAAACTAATTCAGCCACGACATCTAAACAGGAGGCCCACCTCTTTCTTTCTTCAAACGTTTTCAAGTGCTCTCTGATTAAAGTACAAGACAAAGATGTACACAGGCATCATGCTCAGGAGCAAGTCAAACACTGCCCAATAAAGTATGCTTTTAGTGGCTTTTGCAGAAAAATGGACTGCATTAGAGATGCAATTATAATGAGTTTCCCATACACTCCCCATTGTACCGAGCAACTAGAATAACTCAAACGCATAGGACATGCTGCTTTTGCAAAAATGTATGATGCACAGCAAAATAATACATGCAAGAAAAAACTGTTATGATCCTATTAATTCAACGAATGGGTTTCACGTTCTTCAAATTTGCTTTAGAAAAGCAAAACACAAAGAAAATTAGCCACTTGCTGACCGCGGTGTTAAACCCCCTTCCTGGCCAGGCCATTTTTCAGTATTCAGCGCTGCGGTACTTTGACTGACATTTATTCCGTCATGCAACGCTGTACTGAAACTAATTTTATACCATTTTTTGGGGACACATAGTGCTTTCTTTTGGTGGTATTTAATCAGCACTGGGGTTTTTAATTTTTACTATATAATGAAAAAAGTTCTGAAAACTTTGGGGAAAAAAAACAGTTTTCCCTACATTATATGTTAGAAAACATTTATAAGTACCCACTTTTGGTAAAATATAAAATACGGGGTCACGTCGGGTAAAGACACCAAACACATCAAGCTTTAAAATTGTGTGCTCCCGCAAAATCACAAAAAACTACCATGCCTAAAATTGGCCATAGGCGACCCTTTAAAAGCTTTTACTGCTCATTGTTGTCAGCGATTAATGCCCCTAAAATTATCGCTCACACTTCAACGTTTGCAGCAATATGTAACATGTGTGGTGTAATCGTTGTTTTCGCATGTAGGCGCACCCGGCGCATATTTATAGAAACATGGGCAGACGGCAACTGGTTAATGATCTGCGCTCACGGAAAAATGCCCCCCCCCCCGTGCACCTATTGAGATGCTGTGCTAAAAGGTAATGATCCTTTCACTTATTAGGATAATTAATGCTCTGCGCTACAAATAGGACTATATGCACCTATCTCATTGTACAATGAATTAAATAAATCAATAAACAAATCAACAATCATAAAAAGTTCCAAAATGAATCAGGGTAATATAAGAGAAGCTCACCGTGATAACTTTGGAACTTTTATGATTGTTGATTTGTATATTGATTTAATTAATTGAACACTGAGATAGGTGCACATAGTCCTATTTGTATGCACTGTAAAACACAAATGCCTGTGTAAATAGGCCATTAGTTTCTTTCCAATATCAACATTTGAAAGGGGTTTTGCAATGTATAATGGTTTATTTTATTTATACGTGCCTTAATAGTATACTTTGTACATTTAGGAGTATGTAAATCCAAACACTGAGCTTCTCTATATTTGCTGCCTTTTGGTATGTTAAAAAAAACAAACTGTGTTTTTGTTATACCTGTTCGGTAAATGCAAAAAATACCTGTTGATCCTGCCACTAATCTTGTGAGCTAGCTATATCTGTGGACTTTAGAAGCCTGTCCCCCTGAAGAAGAAAGTGAGGGGTTTTTCTGTAGTCCTAACACTTCTTGCCCTAGGGTGCAAAGATGACTTCTCTATAGATTCAGTGCAATGAGTAAACATCACAGGGAGTGTGTTATTTGCAGGATCATTGGATGAAAATAGAGGAAAAGTTGCAATATATACATTTTGTTGATTGGTTTCATATATACTTTTAGTCAATCCATGCCCTAGTAGAGCGGACATCTTGTCCGAAACCATGTGCCTAACTGCAGTTACACATACCAGGAAAAACATTCTAACCTCCCACTATCTTTTTTGGATGGTGGTGAGATGACTGACTACACCCTGGAATAACCAC